AATAGAAGGTCTAACATTCTGCTAGTGGCAGCAGCATGTGACTGCGTAGCGGATGTTCTAGCAGTGGGTCCATTAAGTTGGTTGAAATATGGTCCCCATCTAATAGTGGTATATGTTTCTTAAAATATCGTCCCAATTTCCTTGATGAAATGGATCCTGGGATGCATGGTGAGCGTTCCACAAAGAATGGGGTTCCTACGAAAAGCAGAATAACATAAAAAATGTTTTGTATATTTCACACATTGCTGAATATTGAGATACTGATGGGTTTCGAGGTATTACCACCTAAGTGCCTAACAAAAGCAATGATATGTATGTGCTCAATGTAGTATTATCAATTTGTAGAGGTGTAAATAGTTAACCAGTAGTCAGTTGTGATTAGGATGATTACTTCACATGAGTAAATTTTAAAAATTCAAGCTACAATCTCCGTATATTTAGAAAGCCAAAAGCCTCAAAACAACAATCCACAATAACATTATTCATAAAGCATTTAAAGAAGATCACATTATCCTAAGTTTTTGTATCCTAAATTATTCATGATTTTGTTTTAAGTTCAATATAATCTTCACATTCCTCGACATACACAGACACAAAATTTGCAGTTTTATGATTTGTTGAAGCCCTAAAACAATGATATATTAACTTGATGTCCCTAAGCTCTTTCTCAATCTCACAATGATCCAATGGTTATCTTCAATCACATTTAACTATGACCAAGGAAGTCAAAGTAAAAAGACGCACTTGAAGCGCTAGGGGCCTTCCGGCGCCTGAGGCGCAAATAAAGCCCTCGCCTTACTTCGGCAAAGAGCATTACTTAGATAATATCACATATACTATTCTATAATTACCAAATATGATGTATGTAACATCATATTGAACCAAATGCATAACAAGTCAGGATTCACCAAAATAAAGTCGTCATGATTCACAAAAATAGAACACCAAATTCAGAATTCATGGCTTTAATACTCAAACTAAAAATAAAAGACAATCAAATTGGAGTCTATTTCCCATTGTTAAACTTGTGAAGCACTATTTGTCATCAAAAGAGGAGTCAGTTTCTTCTCCATTATCTGATTTATATTCTCCAACATCCTCTTCAATTTCTTCCTCACCTCCCTCATCCTTAAGCCTACGAGTAGTACTTGAACTCAGATTTTTGGACTACATATTATTATTACTTTATTATATACATAACATTATACTAGTGCTGTGAGTAATATAAAGTAATACAAAGTATTTTTTATTATATACATAGCAATTTACTAGTGATGTGAGTAATATAGAGTAATGCAGAGTATTATTACTTTATTATATAAATAGCAATGTACTATTGCTGTGAGTAATATAGAGTAATATAGAGTATTATATACACAGTAATATACTACTACCTCCATCCCAAAAAACTTTGCCATTTCAAAAAAGTTGAACCATAATTTTGATTGTTACAATATTATGGAAGTTATAAATTTTGTACTTTTATGTAAGTACTTTTAACAAAGAACATTTTTATATAATTTTTATATTGTAAATAATTTCTAATAAAAAATATAATTAGTCAAAGTTTTGAAAATGATGAAGTTTTTTGGGACGGAGGTAGTAGTACTTTATTATATACATAACAATATAATATATGAGTAGTATTTGGATGAAGAGGACTGCATGAAAAAGAACACATATCTTGTTTAGTGCTGTGAGGGAGAGCTGAGTTTGCTTGAGATGATGAAGAAAACTGAAAGAACTGGCCAGTGTAGAGCAGCTTGAGTGAGGAGAGTGAGTAGACTGAAGAGCGATGAGGCTAGCAATGATAACTTAGTGTTTTACACAAGGTTTTGCGTTTTTACGTACTTGACTTAAGGTTTTATGTAGGTTTAAATCTAGCGCCTCAGCGCGTAAGCGCACCAGGCACAATGTAATAGACGTCTAGCGCTTGAAAGATGACCAGGCGCACCCTCCTGTCTCAGACGCAGCTTAGGCGCATAAAGCGCAGGAGCGCCGAATCTGTGAAAAGCGCACGCTTAAGTCGCCTGGGCTGGGAAAGGTTTATCAGCCTATTTTTTTTGTTTGGTCCTACTTTAAAAAATAAGCCCATACTAATAATAAGATTTAGCCCGTCCAATTAAGATTAAACCCATATTAAACCTTTCTTAGTCGTGGGAAAAGTCTTGACTTCGTCATTACGCTCCAATGCTGCTATGTGCTCTACTTGCGCAACATGTTCAGCGCTTAAACACATTCAACGAACGGACAGAAGCCAGAAACCCATAAGGTGTCTTCTTCATCTTCCCACATTTTTTCTTCTTTTTCAGCTTGTAGTTTTCATTTATTTTGTTATCTTCTTCGTGATCCTTTCATTTTTTTTCTTTCAGTCTATCTTCTTTCTTTACTTTTATCAGTTCCAGTCATCTATGCATAGTTTATAGTTCTTTTTGCTTCTAATATATTCTATACAACTCAAACATATTATATGTACTTGACTACTATTTTACATTATATGTTCTCTATATTATTTCATCTTATTACACAGTCTATAACTCTATATCTTCCTATTATCATTTCATACTTTAACTGTATAAAAACTTCATATAATCTAACTCAGTTAATAGTTTCATACACTAGTTTGTGTTATTCCTAGTGGTAAAATTGAAAAATCAACAAAGACAGACCCCACTTGGTGTTTTGTTTTTGTGAACCGTGACTTTATTTTGGTGAATCATGACTTTATTTTTTAGAAACATGACTTTTTTATGCACTTGGTAAATAGTGCGCTTGACCCGAGTTAGGCGAGCGCTTTTTTGCGCCTTGCGCTTTAAGCGATACAAGTACTCTAGCGCCTTAAGTGTGCCTCACGGCTTTGACTACCTTGACTTTCAATGGTTTACTCTATTATTTAGATGGGGCGAGTGTTATTAATGATATGGACTAAATATTTTTGAAAGTTTTAAACCCAAAAAAAGGCTGTCAGCCTTTTCCAGATCTGGCAACCCAAGCGTGCGCCTCCCTGCGCTTATGCTGTTCCTGACCCAGGTGCGTGTGCCTCCCCTTCACCCAAGCCTGCTCGTTGCACCTCATGTGCTTAAGCGCTGGGGCGAGCACTTTTGACCACCTTGACTACGACCGAGTTACTCGTCGAGTAATTGAACTCACAAATTTGATAAACTCATCGAGTATTAGCCTTGTAACCCATTTTATTGAATCGGACTGCATAGATGGACAACTTGGCAAGCTGAGGGCCGAGTAGTAAGTGCTGAACGAGTACTTCGTGAGTACTGCTAGATTAAATACCACAGATATGAAATTAAAGGTTAGCACATGCTAAAACTTAACTTCAATCAACTAAAAGTTTTTAATGATCCAAAATCTATGAGTTAACATTAAGTTACAACAATAATTCAGCTTGGATCCCATATATTGTCCCGAGGTTCTTCATCAATATATTCCTTTTCACTTTCTTAGTTGCACTTCATACGCTCATGTTGTCCATTCCTCTGTTGTCTTTTTTCTTCTCAATTTATGCCATTATCAGTTCTCCATCTCCATTTTAAGTTTATAACTTTGAAATACTTCTCTCTTAGGCTAGGGTATTTAGCTCTTGATAGCAACCTTGTTCAAATCAACGTAGTCGGTTCTCCTTTACCTTGCTTTCAATTGCCGTTACACGATGTATAAGTCGATCTTTATCCTTTTTGGTTTAGTATATGTCGATCCTAACATTGCATCTCAACCACCCCCATCTTCGTAATAGCCCAACATTCTGATTTGTGTCTGCCTTATAGTATGTTCTCTGAAACCTAAGAGAGACATTATGATAACATGCTATTCATATTGTTCTCCATTTTTGCTAACATGCAACATCTTGTTGTCGCATATTTATAGATATCTTTACTCATCTGCATATTGCATCCGAAGTACTTGAAGGAACTACTTATTGATAATTCTCCTCCATCTAATGTTGTCCAAGTGTGATTTCTATTTTTAATGGTGCTGTATGGGCACTCCAAATTGTCTTATTTACTTTGACATATCCAAGAGTTTAAGTGGCATTTTTCTTTACCTTCATGAGGCTTAAACCTCGAGGCGGATTTAGGCACAATTCTCAAAGCCTCATAGGTAAAACATATACAACAACAACATCATTTAAGCCGTAGTTCCAAAAGAGTCGGCTAACATGCAGCGACATATGAAATCAGAGCTAAAAGATAAAATATAAAAAGGTAAGATGAAAAAGATATGATACAGATAAAAAGATAAGATAAGAAAGATATAAAGATAAAGAAGATAAGAAAGATAAAAAGATATGAAAAAAAAAATTAGATCAATCCTCCACTTGTATATTTCCCTCTATTTCAGTATTTCCAAAGTTATGTTCTCATTCAACCCAAAAAGTACCATATCATTTCTGAGCCCTGTAATCCATGTCTGTTTAGGTCTTCCTCTCCCTCTTTTTCCCGCCTCTTCTCCTCACCTCTCAACTCGTCTAACAAAGCATCACTTGGTCTTCTATGCACATGGCCAAACCATCGCAATTCGGACTCTCACATCTTATCTTGAATAAGTGATACTTCCACTTTTTGCCCGATTGTCTCATTACTCACTATTTCTTGGCTTGGGAATATGATAGAATAAAGCAAAATGGCTTACTAAACTATATGCGCTTTTTTGAAGTAGCAGTCAATCCATGCAATTTTCGACGTGACTTTCATCATGGGTCATCCGAAAACGGTTTTGAGACATACGCTTCAAGCCGCCTTGCGGCTTAGATCTTACTGACATACGCAAAAATCATGAGTTACTTCACCTTGTAGGCTTACCACTTGCATACAATGTGTTACTTAACCTTGGATATTCATTGTTCACACATTCTTGATAGTTCCAGTTAGGTTTTAGATTCAGGAACGAGCCTAGTAGCCTCACTTGAGTGGTTTAATGGTTACCTATTATCAATCATATTGCTAGCTAAAATAATACGGTGATGGTCTTAATTTATCCAATCACAGTTTCCACTGGACAGCCTGGTTCAGTTTCCGATGATGCTGATGTTGTAACTCTTATTGGGAGCGGCCAGGAAACTGCAAGTTTGGTAAACCAGAAAGAAATCCACTGGGGAGTAAGTCATGATGAATATCTGAGCTTTATATTCATGTTCTGTTGACTTGGTAAATTTGTGCCTTAAACTTTTAAGGTAATGCATTTTTCTTTGTACTCTTTAAAGTTGTCACAAAACACCAACCACTCATACATTGGGCCAACTGTTTGTATCAGACTTGTAAGTACTTAATGTCCTGTGGTAACTCATACCATAGATTCATATATTGGGCCTACGTTTTATCTATGTTAATTTTTAAATAGTTTACTTTCCTTAAACCAAGCAAAGAGAAGCCTTCTAGATTACTAGGAGCACATCCATAAATACAGTATTTTAAAGGTTCCTTATTGGGTGTAGCTGCCCTCCTTAATACGATGTCAGAAATAGTTCGTGTATGCTATTAATTTTTAAATCTACTCATCTTCTAGTGACATGTGAAGTGCCCGGAACTAAAAGTTATAAAGCATTTTTGTTTCTCTCTCTCTCTCTCTCTCTTAATTTTGTCATATATATCAATGGTTAAGTCACACCTTCACCAGTCACCCCCTTAAAATGAGGAATTGATCCTTCAAACTAAGCCTTGCATATTTGCCAGAAAAGAATTACCATTATGTTGCATGGAACTCAGTATTATGTATTTAGAGATTCATATACAATCTAGCTTGTGACAGCTGCTTGAAGATTCTTTAGAGGAGCGATTGGAGAAGGCAGGAGGTTTGCTTTCTGAGTCAGAAAAGGTTGAAGGGGAGTCTAAAGATGGAGAAATTGATGATAACAAGGTACTGGGTACCTTTTCTTGCTTAAATGCTTTGCTCGCCCCATGAGTGTGTTTTAAAATAACATCGTGGTTCCGTATTATGTTTGTATCGTCTAAAATGAAGAATATCGCCCTTTGGCCCTATAAGGTTCTTTTGAAGGACCAAGTGCTCTTTTTTTATCAGGCATTATTGTTTCTATGAAGCGTTATTATTATTTCGGTGTTTAGCTCAACATATATTTTGCCCATGTTTATTGTAGGAAAATATTCATTTATGAGAGATGATAAATGAGGGTAAATTGGAATATTATAATGTTTTTGTTTGAAACCACACAAAAGTTAAATAATACTCCCTCAGTCACGATTTATGCGTCCTACTTAGTTTCGACATGAGTTTATGTCAGAAGGAATAGATTGGTCTCTTTCCAGTTTTATCCCGAAAATGGTTCACCTATTGAAATCTCCTCTTGAATACTACACTGTTGCTTTCTGCTCTTCTTTGTGTCTAGTGTCTACAGGAGTTGCCAAGGTTTACCAACAAGAACAACCCGACGGTTGATCTTATTGGATCTGTATACCTTTTATTGAATGGTGCACAAGTGATAGGGACCCAGGCACTACAAATAATTAGAGTGTTATTAAGTATTTTAATGTTTTTCAATAATAGGGTTCTAGGCCCAAAAACTTTAGTTAGTTTTATTATAAAAGGGGGCTAGGAGAAAGAAGAAGGCGGGCAGAACTTGGGCATCCGGACTGGGTAATTGGGAGTGTGAGGCCACTCGAAGAGTCTCAACCTCTTCTTTCGTTTCTTTCTGTATTCCATCACTTAATTTTAATTAATATCCTACTAGTATCTACTGGAATTCCTCTGTTACCTATCATTGGTATCAGAGCGTTGTCCTGGGAAGCTTCTATCTAAGTCACATGATAAAAAATGGAGCAGCGCAGAGAATATCGAAGGTCAGAACGTGAAGTGGTCGCCTCTGGTTTGTATGTGAAAAATGAAAAGCGCGTGCCTACGCAAGGGGGGAAGGAACCGTGCAGGCAGCATAAAAAATCCGAGCAGGATAACGCGCACGGAAACGCGGGGAAGATCGCGAAGAGCAGTGAAAAGGTAGAAATTGACTGGGCAAAGGAGATGAGGGTCTGGCTGGACGAGATGCGCACCAAGCTGCGGCAACAACGTCGCAGGCAAGGACGTTCAAGAACCGTCCGACACTGCCGGAGTTCTAAAAGCAAAAGTTCGTCGCTATCAGATTCGCTGGGTTCACAGGTCTCATCTATGTCGCAAACCTCTTCTCCCAGTACTCCAGCTTCGTCGCAAGCAGAATATTCCCGTGCGCAGGTTTTAGCGGCCAATTCTACCAGTCCGCAGGTTCTGACTCCAACTGCTTTTCACTATGCTAAACCTCAATCATTCCATCTGGAGTCTTTTATTCAGCCACAACCTCCCTCTGAAGGTTTTATTTCCTCACGCTTCAGAGAAAAGGTAGAAGAAGCGAGAGTTCAGTTGGTTCCTAACAGTGCTGAGGATGTTCCGAGGGCCGCCAATCTAAGGCAAAGTTCCACTACCAAAGCTGACAATTCTTCTCTGGAGACCAAACTGCTGCCGCTGGGTGTTATAGAGGACCCTTTAGAAAATGGAGTTACTGGCAATCATAGGTCAATGGGAGAAATGTCAAAGGGAGTTCAAGGTTTTTCTAGCTCAGGATTCCCTGAAGAGCAGATCCAGGATCTCATGCCTAGTTTCTTCACAGATGCATTAACTGTGGGTGAAAATGTTCAGGGAATACCAGCAGATTGTATACCTGTCCAAGATGGGGCTGTAGGGTTCGGTGGTTTGCTCCATGTTGCAATTGCTGATAAATGAATTGAGATTCTCAAGGAAAGAGATAAGGATGGGAAAATGGATGACAGCGTTAACACACTTACTACGAGAAGGTGGATGAAGAAGTGTGCTACTTATGTTGATAGTAATGATCACGCTCTTGTCAATGAAGGCGTGATATTATTTCGGGGTGCCTTAGCAAAGAAGCTGGGGGAGGATGATCCACAAACAAATGCAATTGAAGGTTCAGTTGGTACTCACCCAGATGTCAAATTTTGTGTAGTAGTAGAGGGCTGCAATTTGGTACTTTCTGCAATTTGGGACTCATCTGGTTTAGGAATAAGATGGACTAGTGCGTTCGCTCTTGATAGCATTGTTTATTACATTCAAAGAATTGCTGGAAGTGAAGAGAAGCCATATGAGAGGAAAACTGGTGAAAGTCTTTCACAGCCAGCCGAAAATGAGGACTGCTATAAGGAATCAAATAAGATGATGACTGAGGGTAATCAAGAACAGAATGAGAGTTATCCATCATCTTCTCCTGCAAACAACCTTGAGCAAGCTACTACCAACACCAATCATTATGACTGTCTGATTGCCGAGGCTCTCAATCCAAATGGGAAGGTTTTGCCATTTGATGTATCCAAGCTGAATTATTGGGAAGGAAGAAGCGCGAGGCTGAAGTTGAATGGCATGGTTTTTTCTTACTCCCCACCTTGAGGACAAGGTGGAAGTTCAGGGGGGAGTGATGATAGGGACCCGGGCACTACAAATAATTAGAGTCTTATTAAGTATTTTAATGTTTTTCAATAATAGGGTTCTAGGCCCAATAACTTAAGTGAGAGCTGGCCCTTTTAGTGAGTTTTATTATAAAAGGGGGGTAGGGGAAAGAAGAAGGCAGGCAGAACTTGGGCATCCAGACTGGGTAATTGGGAGTGTGAGGCCACTCGAATAGTCTCAACCTCTTCTTTCGTTTCTTTCTGTATTCCATCACTTAATTTTAATTAATATTCTACTAGTATCTACTGGAATTCCTCTGTTACCTATCAACAAGGGTTTGTGTAGACCAACCTATTGATGAATGCAGGAAAACTTCTGCTCCGTGTTTTGAAACTTTAATGGAAGAAGAAAATGGTTCTTTGAAGTATATTATGACTTGAAATTTTCTACTTTTCTAGCCATTTATATAAAGACAAGATTTTGAGAAAAAAGGAAAAAAGTAAAATCCTTATTTTTCAAGAACTTATGCTAGACACTTTTTTCAAGAATATGCTCTATATATGGTACTAACGCTAAAAGATTGATGAAAGTTACAATGGCCGATTTAGCATTGTAGATAGCTGGAAAGTGCAAACCTCTCGCATTTCATAGAAGAAGAAATGCAGAGCAATATGTTTAATAGATATGGCATACTGGAATAGTGGCTACGAAGGAAAAGATGTACAATTATACTTGTAGACATGGGCCACAACTATAGTAACTTGAATTTTGATTTAAATAGCGGGATACTATAAGGGGTTAATTCAGAAGAAGTGAATTTTAAGGATGTTGCTTAAGAAAGTGGACATAATTTTGGACAGGCTAAAAAGGAAAGTAAGACACGTAAAATGGGGTGGACCGTGGACGGTGTATTAACCACCTTTCTTGGTTTGTGTAGGATTCAGAGTATTTTGCGTGGTATAAAGGATCAGAGGGTGTATTTGGAAAAACTACCGAGTTAAAGAGTCAAGTCACTCAAGTCCCTTAAATCTAGACTCTTTTACGCATCCCTGCAATCGATATGCTTTTATAACTATTTTAACCTAATGATAATTAATCTATATGTTCACAAATGGTTTTTCTTATCCTATTCTTTTTGTTTTTCCATTTGTAAACATTTACTAGCTCTTTCGATGTCATCATTTCTTAGGCATGAACATTATGATACCTATTAATTTTGACTCATTATCTTTAAATTTTTGTTTTTTGTTCCTTTTTAAGTGCTTGAAGTGTTCAATATATGGATTAGTAAATGCTATTTTTAATGACATGCTTTTTAGACCATCGTTTACACTTTTCTTACCTTCACTCTATCATTTGCTTTGGTTACATATTGATGAACTTAAAAGGCCTAGAGGGTCTGAGTGCAAATATCTGCCATACAAGATAAACCATTTTGCTACCAAGCAATGTTGATTACCATGCTGTAAAACTTGGACTAAACAGAACTTTTAGTCCAAAGTAAATGAAACCTTTAGAGGGGGCATCAATGAGGTCAAAAGCCAAAGTACTAAGTACTAAGTGAGAGTCCTTAAAATATTCCAATTTATATTCAGTGGGTGTAACACCATACACCACCCAATTTCTCTCCATTAGAGCTCACATAGTTAAAATGATCATGGATGATCCAAGGTTGGTCTAAAGAGGATCCTAATTCAAGCAGTTTTATCCATCAAAATATACCTATAACACACGGAACGACCTCACTCACAGCTACAAGAGAAGGAACCATGGGAGATTTTATAGTGCACCTTGCATCTAAAGCCAAGTAGCATATAGCCATATGCATGCAAAATAGAGAACATGTAACAGGAAACACGGGAAACGGTGGTGACAATGGTCAGTGGCACTGATAGGGTGCTCACTTACCAGAGATGCAAGAAAAGAGGAACAACTGTTGACTGAGTCTTCAATTATTTAATATTTATTGCTTATTTGTTTAATTAAGGCAAATAAAGAAATAATTGGGTTTTGGTGTCATGCACCAGTCCACTATGGCAGTTCTCAGATCATGGAGGGAGTCAGTTAATGTGTCAGTTATTAGATCATGGATGGAGTCAGTTATATTGAGTCAGTTATGGGTCAGTTGTATTTCCTTCTTTATAAATAGCCTAGCCATATTCAAGCTGGGTGGGCAGAATCAGTATTACTTTCCTTCTACTATCGCTCATTTGTGAGATACTTACTGTGAGAGAGAAATGATAGGAACCCATTAGTATAATAATAGAAGTATAACTAATATTTGTGATAGGATGTAAAAGGGTCCTGGGCTAGGTACTAGTTAAGTAGTTAGTATTGGGCTGGCCCATAAGTAAGTATAAATAGAGGGAGGGAGAAATAAGAGGGAGGCTTTTGGACTTTAGGTCTGGGACTGGGAAGATTAGAGATTATCCGTCTCTTCTCTTTGGGAGGCTTCGGCCTGTAATGTTCTTCTT